ATCAGTTGAGCGTACAATTGACCTATCGCCCGCGGTCAAAACCCCTTCTTCTCACACATCGAGTCTAGGTGTCACATTCCCAACATTTTCTTCATTTTCTAGGACACCTACACTATTCACTGCACATACAGGTGCACACACCCTAAACGCAACAACCAGAGCGCAAGCTATGACGGTTGGAAGCCCTGCTACGCCCACAATGATTCCATCATTGTACGCAGGCCACACATCAGCAATCTTCACTGATGCTGTGACTACAGTTACAACCCCCGTAACTGGTCACCCAACCTTTGAAGACGTAAACGTTCTACTAAATCGCTTCCTAGATTCCACCATTAAACCATGGGTGCAAGATGCAATGACCGCTCTAGCACAGGAATTTAGGACCACCCAAGCGGTTCGGTCTGAACAACCCCCACCCCAACCTTCACCTGAACCCTTCATTTCCCATACACAACCCGTATCCTCCACCCCTCTATCTCACCAATCCATAAACCAAATTCCCATTCCTTCACTTTCTCGGGGAACCCAGGATAAAGAACCAGTATTCTCCCCACACCCGACCACACCCTCCATCGATCTATCCTCACTATCCTTCGACACTCTTGCATCGGCTTTGCTGAACAACCTCCTAAACACCCCTGAAGACAAACTTACCCTTCATCAGCAAGCCATACTCGAAGCCCTCCTTTCTTCACCAGAAACCAAGAGCACTTGCAAGGAGAGTCCTCGTGGTCGCAAATGTTCCCATGAGGACCCCGATGATTCGGATCCTCATGAGGGGGAGAACAAGCGACCTCGATCACTTGAGCAAACTGCTTTACCAAGCCAAACTCCACAGCCCATCCAACCCGAAACCTCGACAAACCAACAGCCACCACCCACCGCCAAAATATCTAGCCTGGTCGAGCTAGAAGTAACATCCCGAGGCGTATCTCCCAGAGATACCAACCGAGGAGGGGATGGAAGTCCTGATGATGCTACCATTGGTACATCCTTTACATCAGGCCATCAGTTGGAACCTAGTTCTAAGCTGATGTCAACGGGCAATCCAAGTGAACCCGGTAGTGCTACCCAGGAACAATCACCGCCTCAAAAGCAGCAAAGAGTTCCATACATTTCCCCAGGCAAAGACATCCACGATGCACTGGAGGAGGCGGTGATATATGACAAATGGCCAAGACAATGGACAGAATGGGATGATCTCCGTAATGAGGCTGAACAAGAGGACATGCAGAGAAATTGGTGGCTACGAGAGCTAATCAAAAAATGCTCTGAAGATATCATTAGGCTCGAGGACGATGAACGCAAGGAAGGGGAGAACTACAAGGAATCCCAGAAAACTCTTGAATCCGTCGTAAGACAATCAGCGGGAAGACTTCCTAAGACAGAGAAACCCTGGGATAACGTTCGCATCAAAGCCCCCTTCCAAAAGGAAATCAGAGAGCATATCTGGCGTAGACCAGACAGAGTCAAACCGCTGAATGAACTGAAGCTAAGAGGCCTTACTCATCTAAAAGGAAAGCAGGCTGGAGGTCATCTGCATATGCTGCTACAAAGGTCAACCGGTACTCAGAGAGAACTGATGGAACAAGATCTGAAATCAAATATTCTCCCGATTCATCAAATTCTACAAGTGAAAGCTGAAGATTATCACGGAGTAACATTCTATACTTACAGACTTCAACGCACTGACGGGAGTGAATTTACTTGCCAAGAGAATGACTTCATCATGCTTAAACCCGACGACATCTATCAAATGTTCATGGCCTATAGATACCTTCCAGTCAGGCAGAGCATAATATACAGCGAAGGTCTTGCAGCAATCAAGAGATTCATGCTTAGACAGATCAGAGTACACTCTTCACATGACCTACAGATGGCTATTGAATGCAACCTGAAAAAGACAAATCTGACAAAGCCAAGACTGTATGGTCCAGAACTCGAAGACTTCCCAGCCTACCACATCTTCTTCACACCGCCAGCAGTCACTTATCTGAACCACAAGAACGAAAAACGTCTGATGGTAGTCAATGAAATTGATAAATACTGTGACGGAACGCTGAAGATAATCAAAGAACAGCTTCTAAAGATGAAGGCAGAGCTAGAGGAAAATCTTCAAGAGGCATCGTCTTATGTTCAAAAGGAACACTCTACAGTAGAGACAATTTTAAAGACCATTGACGATCGCCTAGAAAAGAGAAATATGCTGAGGCAATATGAACATGCACTAAATATGAGGAAGCACTACTTCAAGTCGCAGAAGCAATAACAGAATGGCACTTGATCACAAAGGGGGAGATTGTTGGAGATATTTTAATTGTGAATCAAGTTTATCATAGATTAGCTTTATTATTAATCCTTGTATTAAATTAGTGCATGAATTAGATAGCAATTGGGCCAAGTGTTAGGCCCATATAACCAGGCTAAAAGCCTTGTACGCCTAACCTAAACCTCGCCTATAAAAAGGGAGCCGAGGGTTTAGGATTAGGTTAACGTCGTACTTATTCTTCATAGCCTTACGCGCATACTTTTGTGTTGTACGAGTTCACGGTCTATCAAAGAGGGTTTACATCGATTCAATCAGTGTTCATCCTTACGTTTAATCTTCTTTGTTAGATTGGTATTCATTGCTGTTGCAGAAACAGGGACTATCAAAGGAGGAAGAAGAAGGAGTAGTTGGTTACAGATTTAGGTTTAAATGATGGATGTAAGGGGTATTAAAGGGGGTGGTTACGAAACAGATGGAGTTGGCGAGGACGAAGTTAAGACCAGACTTTGAAAATACTAGACTAACCTTCCGTTTTTTAATAAATGATAAAACTGGCCGGAGTTTTGGTCGGAAGGATGACGGATGGTGACGGGACAAAACATAGGGACTACATGTGGACAAGTTGAAAGTGAGGTACGTGATGCGGAAGTGGTATAATACTCAAGGGACCAAAAGTGGAAAAATTTCAAATAAAAACCAGAAGTTGCTCCTAGCCATAGAATACACTCGATCATATCCATTATCGTTTTTCCGTAGTTGACAAACCCTTGGTCACTAGGATGAAATATGATCCAATTCCTGGCCAGCATTGCCACTGTTTGAGTAGGAAGTGAATCCTCAAGCTGGGCTCATCAATAACCTGCGCCGCAGGCGGATCTATGCAGTAGGTATAAATGGAAAAGGCTTCCCCGTTTCTAGCTTCTATACCAGCAACCCAGATGGTCTCGCTAGCTCGTTCTTCGAGTAATTCTTGAATCCTCGATCCGATTCATCTCGTAATTGGTGAAATTCCGATCCTTTCCGCATAGACCATGACATCATCAGTGTGCTCGATGAGTGAAACACAGGGGTGACCGACTTCCGTACTACTACACTAGAAGAAGATTGAGGGACGATACAAATGTTAGTGAGTGGTCACTCATTAATCTATTCCATAGACCTAAAATGAGGCATGAGACCGGAGAAAGCTAGATTCATGCGACCACAACTCATTTTACCCATTAACTAGGATAGATGTTTGCTCAAACAGAAATCAATTTTCTCTTTTTTTTACAGGAAGGAGATGTTTAACACACGAAGAGGACGATGATGAGGTATAGATAGAGAAGGACAGACGTGAGTAGGTACATGATATGAAGGGCCGTTAAACACCCTTAAAAGAGTGGGTGGTGGTCAATTGTTATCCAAATAACTGTCTTATTTTGCTCCACTTAAAAGCTAAGTGTCCGATATGAACCTCGTAACTCGTAACCGTCCATTTTGAACCTTATCCCTTTTAAAAAAGATTACAACTTTTTTGAGCCTCACAACTTTTCAGGTCAGTCAGCTTATTTTTTCCTACACCTGAAGGGTGTCCAAACCCACTTTGGCACCCTTGAACACGTCTTTAACCCTAAGGGTTGGAGCACATTTGAGGTGAATACCTCACATTTGGAGTTTTCACCTCTTGAGTTGTGGGCAGCCTTAGAAAGTTACACATGTGAGTGATGATGTGGAATTGACTTAGGCAAATATTTTTACAATTAAAAGAACAGGATTGAGTAAAATGACAACTTGAATTTGTGAGTAAAAAGTATATTAACTTGCACCGAAGCTTATAAAGTAATTCAACTTGTCTCTGATGCAATAAAGAATACACTAATTTGCAACAGGCTATGAAAGTATTTCAACTTGTTTGCATAGTGAAATTATGGTACATCAAATATAAACGGGGCAACTTAGGAAAATGATTTAATGATTTGTTAATTTTTGGTTTAAACTTTTTCTATTTTGTCACATGACAAAGAAACTTGGGGTGTTTCTTTTTTTATGGCTCGACGAATGATCTGGCTTTTGGTTTCTAATCTCATTTTATCAGTAGCCATGATTGAGGCATAAACTACTTTAAAAATTATAAAAATGATATAAAAAGATGAAATGATCTATAAAATTAATTGTTTATTTTTAAAACGTGTTAACATTTGTGATGTTTGAGTTGAACATATATTAAAATACCATACAGTTGAGAATCACGACACATTTGATAAAGTTAATAGTTAGATAAGCAAATGTGTTTTAATTGTAAATTTTAAAATTAGTGAAACTATTTTCATACTCTGTATAATTTTTTATTTATTTGAATAATAAAATATATATATATATATAATGCAATTTTTCTAAAATTCAGTAAATTCTACCAATTCAACGGTTTCGACTAGAATTTCATCGATTTCAACATATTCAGCCAATTTGGTCAATTTCATGCTCCAAAATGGTGTGCTGCAAAAAAAACAATAGCACTTTCGGTTGATGGTACCACTAATTTTATGCTCCATTTGTCCCTTAAAACTTTGTCATTTTTTAGTGTTTCGGTCATTTAAACTTTGAAGAATGATATATTTTTATTGGAAATGGTTTATAAATAAAAAAATATTTAAAATGATCTTTACTGAAAATAATTACATAAAAATATTAAATTTACCATCATTACTTGAATAGTAAAAGTTTTAGAAAACAGTGTTTTCACGGAGGGAGGTAGACTTTGAGATAGAAAAGTGTAGATTGAACACACTAATAGCGTTTAGATTCAACATTTAATAGTTAATTATCAATTTGACATGTTGAGTAACGCTAAGTTTGAAAAGTAGTGTATCATCCATCCATCTGCTAGTCAAATCATGATGGAGTGAATTAGTTAGTATCCACTGAGCTGAGTAACAGGCGATGATCTGTGAAATGAAATTTTGGAACGAATTAGAAGGACGATTCTGGTGGACGAAGAATGTAATTAACTTAAAGGCTAAAGCAATCAAGATTGCCCCAGGCGAAGAAGATGAATGAGGATTAAGAGCTAGCTAGCTAGCTAGCTACCAAATCAATTAGATATTCATTCATTCATGCATTCATAATTAGTCCCGTGCAGGGGCGGATGGTGTTACCGCTGGTAAAGGTTGCTCGCTCGCCCGAAAAGATCCATCTGTGATTGCATGAAGAACTGCAGCCGCTGCAGCTCTATTTCTTTCACTACCTTCATCCTCTGCTTCTCCATCTCCACCATTTGCTCCATTTTCGCCCTCTCCGTTCGCTCGTACGCTTCCCCGAATTTCAATATCGCCCCGCTCATCTCTCTCACTGATTTCCCCCAATTCCCTCCTGCCTCTTCATCTCCGCCTCTTTCCCCTGACTTCAACTCATTATTGCTCCTCAGATTGACAATTTCCCTCCGCCTCTTTCTGTCGTCAAGCGGCAACCACTCCGAATCCACCTGAGACTTTTTCGGAAAAGGCCGCAGTCTGTGCTTCTGCTGCACCGGTGGCCGGATATGGGACCTCACTGGTCCTCCGTCTGCGCCGGCGCTGCAGTTGATCCTAGCAGCGGGCCCGATCAACTGCTCCAGTTTGTCAAAGAAAGCCCACCTGCTGGGCCCATGTCCGCCTCCCATCTTCGCCTTCTCCAGCTTATACTTCTTCTTCACCGTGTCCATCCGGTTCTTACACTGCACATCTGACTTTGGGGTTTTCGTCTGCCCTTCCCGCCTGCTAACAATGTCCGCCACCTCTTTCCAGTGCTTCTGCTTCAAATTCCCCCGGCTCAGCTCCAGGTACCGCTCCCCCCAGGCGTCAATCAGCACCGCCGTCGCATCCTCGCTCCAGCAATCTTCTCGCCCGCCGCTCGCCGGTTTCCCCTGTTGCTGCACGGGTAAAGCCAGGGCCAGACATTTGCTGCTTTGTGGAGGGGCAGGGACAGCTACCGTCACCGCTATCCTCCCGTCGGATCTCGGCGGCGCTGGAGATTCCGTCCCTTCTGACGAACCAGACTCCATCTCGTCGTTGTCTTCCATCAGCCGAACTCCCAGTTTCCGCCGGGGTTGAAAATCCACACCGATCTGAAATTGGGTTCTTGAGAGAGAAAGTAGAGAGGGTAGTTTGTCAAATTGTTTTCTGTAGCCGAGGGTTGACCGGAAGGAAGAGAGATTAGAAATCGATGAATAAAAGATGCCGGAATTAAGGTAAGTTTTGGGGGAGAGGAGAAGAGTTTAGGGAAGCTTGTCATCATTTCTCAATTTGTTTTGTACGCGTTGGAGTTCCTTTCGCTCATGTATAAAAAAGAATTAGAGATACTGTCAATCACCTTGTCTTAATATTGATGATCTAAGATCGTTCAAAATGTAAGAGAACAACACAAACTTTGCAATCCTTCACTGTATTGTGGTCTCAACAATGAAAAAACATTATTCTATTGTTGGACATACTCACGTCCAAAAGGTTGAATCCCCAACCCCAAGGATCCCCCACCCCGACCCGACAGGATGGTGGGGGAGTAAATCACGGTGACTCAGTCGGCAAAGCGGCAGTAGACTTTTACCCGTGCGCACCAGAGGGCCAGCCTTATTTCAGGTTCTGAAAACCCCCTTTTGGCCGCTGCGGGATTCGAACCTTGGTCTACGTCCAATTTTTCCCACCACTCGACCAACTGAGCTACCCGTGCGGGTTTGTTGGACATACTCACTTCCTTATATAGGAGTGCTTTTTTATAAAACCCAAATGTCATGCGGATCATTTACCGGAATTTTTGCCGGAAGGACGAGGGGTGGTGAGGGGATAATGGTCACGGACTAAATGTGGACAATCTGAAAGTAAGGGACTAAATGTGGAAGTGGTATAATAGTTATGGGACCAAAAGTGGAATTTTTTCCTTTCAACATTCTTCTTCTTCTATTGATTTGGCTTCGATAATTTGACTGAGCATCAATGGCTGTTGAAGCTTTTATATCCTAATCTACCCTTGGGCATGAGAGTGTACCAGGGTTCATAGTATCTCTATCATGAAAGATATCACTAATTGGGCCTTCTTGGTTTTCCCTACACTTGGATCTAGGGCTGTTAATGAACCGAGCTTTTATCGAACTATTCGAGTTCGAGCTCGGTTTCGAACCTAACGAGCCGAGCTTAACGAGCTTTCGAACTCGAACCCGAGCTGAGTTTTAAGTTCGAAAACTTACTCGAATCGAGCTCGAACGTAGTAGTATTCGGCTCGGTTCGAACTCGAGCCTATCGAACACCTGAAATTATAAATATAATTTATATATAGGGAAAAGGGGCAAATATGCCCTCGAACTAACCGAAAAAGTGCAAATCACCCCTTTTATAGGAGGCTCTGTCTGGCCGTCACCATTTGATGCGGTTTCCAGTGGAATTTTTTGTTGAAATATTTTGAGCATCTTCTTCATTAAGTCTACTTTATCCATACCAAATTTCAGCAAAAAGTTCAATGGTTAAGGCAGTCACATAAATGTTTGAAGATAACTACGCAGTTAAACAGCACAGTACATTTCAGAAAATCATTTGACTGCCTTCCCGGTTGAATTATTACCTGAAATTTGGTATGAGTAAACTAGACTTAATGAAGAAGATGCTAAAAAATCATCAAAAAATTCCAGTGGTAAGCGCCCCAAATGGCGACGTCCAGACAGAACCTCCTATAAAAGGGGTGATTTGCACTTTTTCGGTTAGTTCGAGGTCTTATTTGCACCTTTTCCCTTTATATATTGTTGGGATATATCATCCCGGCCTATTAATGTTCAGGAGCCCAAGACTTTACGTAGTATGGAGCCCAATCAGTAAGGCCCATTTTAGCCTATCAGGCCTGTTTCGGCCTTTGGGCCCATTTCTACCCATTCGGCCAACCTAGGCCCAAGAGGCCCGTTTCGGCCCACTCGGCCCGTTAGGGTGGAGCACCCCTCCCCCTTTCCTCTATAAATAGGAGGATTCCCCTCCTTATTAAAGATCCCCTCTCTTCTTCCTCCTTCTCTATAGTTAGCTTGAATCCTCCATTAATGGAGCTTGTATAATGTATTGGTGAGGAGAGCAGTAATAAAAGGAGCGGGCTTGGACATTAGCCTAAACAGTTCCGTGGTTTTCTCCCTTTCCGGGTTTCCACGTAAAATTCATTGTTTATATTTTATTATCACCCCATAACCATGAAACCCTCTCGGAAGAGGTGTTGAACTTCCGGGCTGCGGCGAATTAACCTCAACATATATATATTAAAATTTAAATATAATTAGTATGATTTTATGAATTTATATATGATTACTAACGAACCGAATACTTGTCGAATCATTCGAGCTTGAGCCTATTAACGAGCATCACCTAAAATTTTAAATTTGAGCATATTTATCGAGCTTATCGAGCGCTCGATTCGAACATCGAACACCTATCGAGCCGAACACGAGCCTCATTTGTAAAGCTCGTCGAACTTCGAGCTCGAACCCGAACACCATTAATTCCTTATCGAGCTGAACTCGAGCTTTGGTTGTTCGGGCTCGGCTCGTTAACAGCCCTACTTGGATCCTCCGCCAATGATGAAGAGGTTGTGAATTGCAGAAGATGAAGATGACTCAGATAAATGAACATTAAAAGTGCATTGCTTTGTAGATCTTACGTTTTTGTCCTATTTCAACGACCACAAATGTTGTTGGTACACCTATTTTGTACACATTTTGTGTACATCCCCATTGTTTTTTGTCTAGATAGGCAATTTGTTCATAAGATGCCTTGTAGACACACAACTAGGGGTGCACAAAAGGTGTACAATATATGTGTACACCAAGCATGGTACTTCAATGACATATGTGTGTTTGTGGCCTATTTTATTGTGAGATGAACGATATTTTAGATATTTAAATTAATAACATTTACTAACATTTAATATTTGTCGTTGTGAATAGTAATAAGGGGGCTTTAAAGCTCATTGGAAGCTCATTTTTTCTCTACGAGTCCAAAACATTAATGTATCAGCTTGATAGTTTATGGGGTAGCTAAGGTGCCATTTTATATTAATTTTGTGATTTCATTGGAATACGTCCCAGTTATAGAGTTAGTTATATACAATATTAGTTCTCTGAAATTTGATTTAAGTTCTTGTTAAATCATGAAGAAAAATAAAAAATGCATAAAATTGATATATTGATATTGGTATAAAATTTTAATTTTGAAAATCGAAAGTATAACTGTTAAAAAAAGATGAAATTGAGTCTTTATTTGATAAAAGATAATGAATATGATAGATTGTTTAATTTGATGGTACTTAGGGATATACTAAGCTAAAAAACTTTGTTAAATTTTGCACAACATGTCTATACTTTGTAATTAGTTGAATGCATATATTCGTAGGTTAGATTACATGGTCTATGATTGTAGTAGACTTTGTCGATTTTTAAGTCTAAAGTAATTGGTGTGTCTAAAATATTTTAAGTCCAACACCTATTTTTTTAATGTCAACAAATTTGATGCTTATTTTTTCTAGAACAATTGTAGTCATGTAGATCTTGTTAGGGACTTTCAAGTAAGAAATGTATGGTGTGTCTCAAATGTTGTGGGTTGTAGATGTTTACAACTTTTTTTTATTTGGAGAAATCTGGAGTAGTAGAAAGCTGGTGGACTCGCCTCATCTCCTCAAGAGGTTGCATAGCGACTCAAGTAAGTTATATATGCTTAAATTTACTTAATGTATAGTTTGCGCTTTACT